GTTATTTGGAATACTGTCTCTTCCTTTTGTTTAGGCTGCTCTCCTCTTGGCCTCCCAACCTGTGCTCTGATGGCCTTGATCTGTCTGCTGGAGTCCACCTTCTGGACTGGTACTGGAGCTTGATGTCCTTAATTCTTGCTGCCTATGCTCCTGGGGCTATGAGTAGCTTAACACTAGATCTTTTCACTGTAGGCCTCCCATCATCCTTTTTTGTGTTATACTTCATACTGGATTAAAAAAAAAAAAAAGTTTTCTTGAAGCAGTCTCACTGCACAGCCCAGGCTGGCCTCAAACTCTCCATCCTCCTACTTCAGCCTTCCAAGAATTCAAGAACTGAGAACAGTTGTATGTCACTACGTGCATTTCCTCAACATTTTAGTCATTCATTCTCTTGACTTTATTCACTGTTATAAATCCTACTGAGTTCTTTTCGTTTTCTTTTTTGTGTTAGGACTTCGCTGTGTAGTCCAGACTGACCTTGAACTCGGTGATCTTCCTGCCTCGCTTTCAGAGTACTGGGATTACAGGCTTGTACCAGAATAACCAACTCTACCTATTGATTTTTTTTTTTTGTTGTTTTGTTTTCAAGACAGGATTTCTCTGTGTAGCACTGGCTGTCCTGTAACTCAATTCATAGACCAGGCTGGCCTTGAACTCAGAGATCACCTGCCTCTGCCTCAAGTACTGCAATTAAAGTACACCATGCCTGGTGTACTTATTGAAATGTTAATTTGGGTTACTGTAGTTCCTCATTTTAGAATTTATTTTTTATTTTTATTTTTTTAAAAGATTTATTTATTATATATACATTGTTCTGTCTGCATACCAGAATAGAGCACCAGATCTCATTATAGATGGTTGAGAGCCACCATGTGGTTGCTGGGAATTGAACTCAGGACCTCTGGAAGAGCAGCCAGTGCTCTTAACCTCTGAGCCATCTCTCCAGTCCCTAGAATTTCTTTTTTATAATGTTTGGGGCTTATCTGTACACTTAGTCTAGTCTAGAAGTGGCTTCTAGATCCTTACTTACCTGGTTTTGTTTTGACTGTACTACAACCCCTAGGTGTAGTTGCTTTTGGTTAAGTCCCAGACTTCTGAGAAATGAATGGACTGAATAGGCTTAAAGTAATCATCTACTTCCTCCCTGCCTTGCAGGCCTGAGAACATTCTTTCTTCTGCAGGTGGATGATGAACTGGAAATCAAGGCATACTATGCAGGCCATGTGCTGGGGGCAGCTATGTTCCAGATTAAAGTCGGCTCAGAGTCTGTGGTCTACACGGTCAGTGGAAGTACTTGGCTTGAATGAAATTGCTGGGGGCAGAAAGACACCTTTCTTATTGCCATTTTCTTTACCAGGGTGATTATAACATGACCCCAGACCGGCATTTGGGGTGAGTAGGCCTGTGTTTCACTCTGGGGGAACTTCCTGGGAGTTAGATAGTTGGCATCTAAATGCTCAGCACCCTACCTGGTCCTCCCATGCAGTATGTGACAGACCATATGGAGGAGCTCATGTCAGGGTGACCTAGAAATGTGCTGTGATGGGGCTACAGTCCACTTTGCCACTTGGCTCCCAATTCTGTAGCCATGAGCAATCCACTTGACCCCATTCCTACCTCTGTTCTAGGGCTGCATGGATTGACAAGTGTCGCCCCAACTTGCTTATCACAGAATCCACATATGCCACAACCATTCGAGACTCTAAACGCTGCAGAGAACGAGATTTCCTTAAGAAAGTTCATGAGACTGTGGAGCGTGGTGGGAAGGTATTGACTGTGTGCAGGCTCCGGTGTGTGCCTACTGTGGCTACACTGTATAGGTCTCCCAGCAGGCTCTACTGTCCTACCTGTGGACAGGGTCTCTGGGTGTGGGGATTACTGTTTATTTGGCACTGAGAGATGGATTCCAGAGAGTCTTCCTTTCCCTCGTGCTTTCCTCCCATGAAGGGGCTGTTCAAGAGCCTCCCACAGTTCCTGCTATCTCTACAGGGGTATATACAAAAAGCCCTGTAGTTCTTAGATGTCTGGCTATTCCTTTGCAGTAATGCTATCTCTGAATGTTATCATTCTACCTGCCTGCAAGAGTATAGCAAACATCTTGCTACCTGCTGTGTTCAGGGAAAGGTAGTGTGGCCAGTGGCTCCCACCTGAATCAGCCTCACCTACCATCAGGTGCTGATCCCTGTATTTGCGCTGGGCCGGGCACAAGAGCTCTGCATCCTGCTGGAGACCTTCTGGTAGGTACAAACAGGAATATTCCACAAGTGGGCAGGAAAGGATGGAAAAGCCTCTGTGTAGGAGAGTAAGTTCCTCACAATGCCAGTCACAGCAGAACTGTTGAGAAGTCAAGGCCACAATGACTACCACTAGGTACTTTGTGTCCAGGATACAGTACCATTGGCCCTGCTGTCTTGGTGGAGCTGTCCATGTGTTGGGATATCACATTTGAACCATTATCTGCTGGCTGTATGGGTCACTGCATGAATGCTGAGTCTCCTCATATGAACTCTAGGGACCCCTGTCACTCCCATGTTTGTTTTATAGGACACAAGCTGAGAGGTCTGGCCCAGTGGTCATAAGGAGACAGCATGGGGTTCAGTTCAAGGGATATTGAACTCTGCTGTGGCCATAGCTACTAAGTAGTGCAGTAGAGGGCATAGGGCCACATGTTGCAAGCTAACTCTGGCCTCCCTGCACTGACTGGGCTGGTGGACACACAGGGAACGCATGAACCTGAAGGTGCCCATCTACTTCTCTACGGGCCTGACAGAGAAGGCCAACCACTACTATAAGCTCTTCATCACCTGGACCAACCAGAAGATCCGCAAGACATTTGTCCAGAGGAACATGTTTGAGTTCAAGCACATCAAAGCCTTTGACCGGACATTTGCTGACAACCCAGGTCCCATGGTAAGGCCCTGGCAATGCAGCTTCTGTACACCTGGCCTTCAAGGATCCCTGCCCGTGGAGCTCTGGGAAAGACTGCTGACCAAAGGTCTGGTGCTTATTGCAGCCCTGGGTAAAGTCTACTCTCCTGACCCTTGTCAACCCTGCAGGTTGTGTTTGCCACACCTGGAATGCTTCATGCTGGCCAATCTCTGCAGATCTTCCGAAAGTGGGCAGGAAACGAGAAGAACATGGTGAGGGTTTGAAGCCAATTTCCAATTCTTTTTTTTTTTTTTTAAGATTTTATTTATTTATTATGTATACGCCATTCTGCTTCCATGTATATCTGCACACCAGAAGAGGGCACCAGATCTCATAACGGATGGTTGTGAGCCACCATGTGGTTGCTGGGAATTGAACTCATGACCTCTGGAAGAGCAGTGCTCTTAACCTCTGAGCCATCTCTCCAGCCCCCAATTTCCTATTCTACAGGGGCTCGTTATAGTCTTAGGAAACTGGAGTACAAAAGGACTGGCCCTTGAACTTTCTGTGTGTTGACCCCATGATGACTCTGCTATTACTGTGTTCTGCCACCAGTAGCCCAGATAGGCTCTTAGCCTCCTGAGGATTCAGGTCAGGGGTTGCCCCAAGAACAAGTGTCTACATTAGGAGGCTATGTAGCTGAACCTCACCTATGCTTTCAGGTCATCATGCCTGGCTACTGTGTGCAAGGCACTGTGGGCCACAAGATCCTTAGTGGGCAACGGAAGCTGGAGATGGAGGGGCGTCAGGTGGTGAGTACCTTTCTGTCCTGGGCTCAGCAGGGCTTCCAGCCTCTTGCTGCTGCTAAGTCTGCATCTTGTGACACCACAGCTGGAGGTAAAGATGCAAGTGGAATACATGTCATTTAGTGCCCATGCTGATGCCAAGGGCATCATGCAACTGGTGGGACAAGCAGAGCCGGAGAGTGTGCTGCTGGTGCATGGCGAGGCCAAGAAGATGGAGTTCTTGAGGCAGAAGATCGAACAGGAATTCCGTAGGCAACTGGTGGGCAGGGATGGCCTGTGGGATGGTACAGGCCAGGCTGGCAGCCTAGACTGAAGCTCTGTATCACTTTCTCAGGGGTCAGCTGCTACATGCCAGCCAATGGTGAGACAGTGACGCTGCCCACCAGCCCCAGCATCCCTGTGGGCATCTCCCTGGGGCTGCTGAAGCGGGAGATGGTGCAGGGTATGAAGGGCAGCCTGGGGCGCGGGCTGAGGGAGGCAGGTTATTGGTGGCTCGTATTGACTTCAGGGCTCCTTTCCTCATAGGACTGCTCCCTGAGGCCAAAAAACCTCGGCTCTTGCATGGCACACTGGTTATGAAAGACAGTGTAAGTGTGTAAAGAGTGACGGAGTGGGGATAGTTTATAACATTCATTACTTCCCCTGACCTGCTGCTTGCCCTTGCCCTACAGAGTTTCCGGCTGGTATCCTCAGAGCAAGCCCTTAAGGAGTTGGGCCTGGCTGAGCATCAACTGCGTTTCACCTGTCGGGTGCACCTGCAGGACACACGCAAGGAGCAAGAAACAGCCCTCCGTGTGTACAGCCACCTCAAAAGGTGCGCTTTGGCTTTGCTCCCACCCCTACAGGCAAGGTGAGGCAGGGATCTTACTATGCCTTTCCACAGTACCCTCAAGGACCACTGTGTACAGCATCTCCCTGATGGCTCTGTGACTGTGGAGTCCATTCTTATCCAGGCTGCTGCCCACTCGGAGGACCCTGGTACTAAGGTACTACTGGTCTCCTGGACCTACCAGGTAAGGAGGATGGGCATCAGTGGTATGTATGCCTGGAGACCTCATTTCCTTGGTATTATATTGTCTGTGGGTAACTGAGCTTCCCTCTTTCCTTGTAGGATGAAGAGCTGGGAAGCTTTCTCACAGCACTGCTCAAAAATGGCCTTCCCCAGGCACCCAGCTGACATGTAACCACCAGCAACCCACCACTCTGTCTCTTGCTGTTTGCTCAGCAGAAGGATCAGGATTTTGGCTTTGGGAGGTGGGTGCCCTGAGTAAATGGACACTGTATTGGGCCAGAGTCACACAGACTGGTTAAAGTAATAAACAGGTCTTTTTGTTCTTTATGCATTTTATTCCTACTTTGCCCCAAGATGGGGCTCCCAGAAAAGCAGGACCAGAGGCTCTGTTTCCTGCTTGGTACCCCATCCTTTAGTGACAAAGGGATGGCCACAGTGGAAAGACTGGGGAGGTGGGAGCTGCTGGAAGGTAGGCAGGGCTGTTAGACCCTACATAGCTGTGGATTAATCTTTGCGGAGTGCAGTAAGTGTTGGACAAGGCTGACAGCCACTTAGTGTGCCGTGTGGCTCTTCACCTCCACTGAGTGTACAAGTTAGCTGGTTTCACACTGGACCTTACAGGGCTCAGGATGTTGGTCCTATGGAGAGACCCTAGGTCAGTAGAACTCTTCCTACGGTTGCATCCAGAGACCCCCACATACCCCCTAAAATCTGAACCCATGGATCACTCAATCCATGCCACCATGCTTTTGATCACTGATCCTACCTAACTGAAGTCCTTTTCCCACTGTCACTGGCTTCCCCACTAGGTGTTTGGATTCTCATCTGGTATAATGGGGGGTTTGATTGCCTCCAAAAGCCCCCTCCCCTCAGTGAGGGCCCAGCTGTTTCGTATCCCACCCCTCTTACCAAAGTCATCATATAGCACCGACTTCAAAAACAGGCCACGGGCTGGGGCAACTCGAGCCTGATACTTTCCCAGGGGATCTTGACTATCCAGAATCGCTTTTACCTCTGTGGGTGTCAGAATCCCTTGTCCCACAGCCACCAGCACAGCTGTCATCCTCCGTACCTACAGCAGAGAGCTGAGATAGTCACAGGTATTTACCTGAGCGCACCCTGGGAGGGTCTAGTACAGCCTACCTGTCGATATAGGAAAGACTGGCTTTCAAACTCCAACGTCCAGAACTGCAGTCTCCTAGAAACACAGATAATTTTGATGTCCAAGCTACAGGCAGCCCCAGCCACCCATGTGGCCTCAGACAAGACAGATTTAAATGCTCATCTATCCAGGGTAGGTTCTTGCCTAGCTGACCACCAGTTCCAGAGGGTGAGTGGGTATTGCATAACTTTTCCTGGAGTCTATATATGCTGTCTCAGAAAACAACAGAGTGTGCCTGTGCACAGGGGATAACAATTGCTTTGAGCCTTCCTTTACGTGGAGGGGTCACAGTATGGGTGCTGAAATGGACATAGCCAGCTCACCTATCAAGATGGAACCCTGGCCATGTACTTTTGTGCCTAGCTACATTGAAGCCCTCCTCCCCTAGGAACTTGATATCAGCTGCAACGTGCTCAAGGTCAGTAGCTGGTTCCCAGTGGGAAGTCCACTAGACAGTGCAGAGAACTGCCAGTCTGCCAAACTGGACTGGAACCACTAGCTCCAATGAAACCTTTTCAGTGACTGCCAAACCCATCTGCTACAAAGAGCTATGGGTATGGCAAGGCCCTCAGAAAGGCAACATTCTCTACTCTGTGCTCCCCAGCTGGAAGAAGGCACAAATACTGGCTCATACCTTTAAAGTGGCCAGCACCTTCCACCCTCCAGGCCTTATGGATGACCAGTGTATATCAGTTTAGCATTATCCCACATTGTTGTTTTGATTTGGCTTTCAAGACAGGCAGGGTTTCTTGTTTCTCTGTGTAGCCTTGGCTGTCCTGGAACTACTCTGTAAATGAGGTTGGCTTCAAAATCACAAGGATCCCCTGCCTCTGCCCACCAAGTGTTGGGATCAAAGGTGTACACTACCATGCCTGGGGCATCATTCCACTTTTATGGATTATGAGAACTAATTTAACTCTGGCTGCCTCTAGACCAGCGTAAGGCCACTCTTCTCACCTGCTTTCCTGGGGGAGGGCAAATGGGCTGGCTGGACCAGAAGACACAGAGACCCTTCGTAGTGTTCGCACAGTACTTGTGGCTGGGCTGCCAGCAGACTGGAAAGCACTGAAATCGTGTGTCCCGATGAGGTGCTGGGCAGCCTCCTGCATGGCAGCCACATCCAGGGACCTGCAGAGCCAATTAAGCACTGAGGAGGGCCCAGCCAGATGGATGGTGAGCCTTTTCTCCCCATTCTTAGTTCACTCACTTTGTCTGCAGAGCCCAGCATACATTTTGTTCAAACACAGGCAGCTGATCAGGCCAGTGACAGCCTGTGGCCAGACGGTACAGGTAGGTTCTGGAGGTGGCTGCACGGCGAGCATGGAAGTCATTGGGCACTCGGAAGGCCTTCAGTACGCTGTGGCAAGCAGATCTGGCTCATCGCAGGAATGAGTGTGCCCATCTGTCCACACAACTCCAGGGAAATCTCCCATTCACCTCCAAGATGCCCAGAATACAATGTCTTTTTGGACCTCAGCCTTCCTTCACAGTGGGGTGTGAGGTATATTAGTAAAGAACAAAGAACAGAACTATACTCAATCCCTGGCTCACCGAATGGCCTGGTGCTTCAGGTGGGTGTTGAGAGCTTGGGTCACGACCTCCGGAGTGTAAGGCTGCAGGCCTGAGCGGCGATGGATGTCCAGGTGCGCCGCGTTGCTCAGTGCATGCACACCGGCATCAGTGCGGCTGGAGATAGTAAACCTGATGGGCTCGATCGAGTTCAGCCGCGTGGCGGCCTCCTGCAGGGATAGGGTGCAGGCAGGCGGTCACAGCCGAGGCCAAAGCCCGTGGAACAGAGTGTGGGCAGGGATTCTGCCTGCCGGCTGCGCCCCCCCCCCCCCCCCCCGACCCAACCAGTCATCGCTCTAACCGAGAGATAACAGCTCACCTCCAGGAAGTTCTGCACCCCAACAGCGCGATGGTTACCCCTCACTGCCGCGACCCCACTGCGGAGAGATAGATACATGAAGGAGTTATCGGAAGCGACTGTGGGAGCTGTCCCGCCTGGAGTCTCGCCCCCAGGGGCGTTCGTACCGCCCAGGATCTTAAAATTGCGCATCCCGAGACCAGATGTCCAGGCTGCCGATCTAGGTCGAGCCCGAGTGGAGGAACCGGAGGTGATGGCGGGGAAACGTACTTGAAGTCAGTGCCCAAGTACTGGAAGAACACAAGGTAGCGCGCACGCACAGAACCCACAGCCCCGCAGGAACCCATGGTGGAGTAGCTGGAGGGCGGGGCGGTTGCACGTGGCCCGCGGTCCGCCTTGCCCAGCTGCGACGGCGCCTGCGCACTCATTCGGCTCACCCCGCCCGGCCTCCGGGACCGAGAAACGGAGGCGGGACCAAGCTTAGGGAGCGGGTACGAAGTGCTGTCTTCTGGGCCCGACTGGGCTCACTGTCCTCTGTCTCACAAGGGCGCGGCGACGGGTTGTTTCCACACGAGTGTCCTCCTTAATTTGTTCACCCCTTCAATCCCGATCTTCCCGCCGCCGTCCCGTCCTCCCAGAATGTGTCTGTCTTAGCGTTCTGATGGAGTGCTTCCAAATGTTTTTTTGTAAACTCCTTGACTTTAACCATGGCAGACGCCTGAAGTGAGAGAACCGCGCCCTTCCCTTTCCCGCAGCTGGATCAGCCACTTCAAACCCCAGCTGCTGAGGCCGGCTCCCTGACCCTGGTGGCTGAGGACAGAGGGTAGTGACAGGCAACGGAGTGCAGCGACGCATTTAGCGACGCTCCCCGGAGGTGACAGCGGGTGGTGCAAACGGCGGCAGACTTTGGCGACGCTCCCCAGCGGTGACAGGCGGGGCGGGGCAGCGGCGCGCCGGCCTCATTCCGAAGCGGGCGGGCGCGGAGCGCTGCGCGGGCGCGACGGACCGTCTACCAGCCGGGGATGCCGCTCGACGTGTCGTGGTCCTCGGTCCAGTGAGCGCCGCTCGCCGCAGCCATGACGGTAGAGTTCGAAGAATGCATCAAGGACTCGCCGCGCTTCAGGTGTGCTGCGGGCCTGGGGTAGGGCACAGGCGGGGATGGGGAGCCGCCTTTGTGCCGGGGGCGGGGAAGGGATGCCCAGCTTCGTGACCGCTCCCGGTCCACCTGGATGGACCAAAAGACCTGGCCTGGATAAACCGGCCGGAGCCGGAGTCGTGGTCCCCAAGGCGCGCAGCTCCGCCTCCGGCCTCGGGGGACCGGAACAAAAGACGCCCCTGTACTGAACATCTCGAGCGCGGGGGTGAGAGCTCGACTGTCTTGGGCAGTCGTGTACCACTGAGCATTTGCATTCAGTGCCACCTCTAGAACTGTCCACTCTCCTTTGTGTTTGTGCTTTCATATGCCATAAGTACTGAGCTCCCCCTGGGCCCTGTAGTTCAGTTCTGGCTCCGATTGTCTGGCACCCTGCTTCACCTGTCCCTGGTTTCTGTCCTGGCCCATATGTCCAGAGCAGTGTATGGGTGCAGCCAACTGGAGCCATCAGAGCTTGAGACAGACACCTTGGTGAGAGTGGGTGACCCAGGAGCCTGGAGGGTTGGGGCTATGAGGATGAGGAAGTCAGGTTTAAGTGGGAGGGTATGGGCCTTGTTCACCTGTGAGTTTGTTGCTTTTATTGTTCCTGGACTTGCAGTCATGCACATCTATGTGAACCACATGGCCACACAGACATACATCTGTTTCATTGGGTGACATTTGGCAAGCAGTACTGGATCCCCTACCTCTGTATATGCATATACACAGGGGAATGTATTCTGCCATTCTGCCCCTCCTTGGAGGAGGTGACAGACCAAGAACATGTAGGTGTAGGCAAGCTGTGACACTGGGTTGGTGTGCTTGATGTGTGCACACAGCCTAGTGAGTGTGCACACATGTATGTGCATGTGCCACTTCTCTGTGGATTCATGAGCCATGTTTGCCATGCTAATAGACACATGTTAATGTATGCAGGTGTGTGTTTTAACATGGGTGCACATGTCCATACACATGTGTGCACCATGTCCCTGGAACACATGTCTGTGTGCTCAGTACTACTGCATGCATGCATGCATGTTCATGTATGAGCTTATATCATGCCTTTGCACATGTGTGCTTAACCACATATGTACATGCATGCTGGGTCTCTGGGGGCCTACCCCAGTCCAGCTCTTTTCAAAACCACCTTGCAAAAGAGTCAGCAAGAAATACCTCAGGAGCCTTGGAGCATTAGTGTTAGCCAAGAGTGTTCACTGACTGTAGGCAGGGTACTTGAGGCAATCATCTATGCTTTCCTATTTTCTATTGCTGAATGGTTGAGCGCTCTGAGAGACTCAGATACCCCATAATTCTGCATCCACGTTTGATAGGAAGCACAGACAAGGCCTCTATGCTGGGGACTTGGCCCCAGCTGAAGCACTCTTATCTTTGTCCTGAACCCTTTCTGAGGAGCTCTGGCTCCACCCTGCCTTGTGGAGGGATTTGGGCCTAAGCAGAAATCCATTCACTTCTGGGCCTTCTTTGCTATAGCCAGCCAGTTGGACTTGTAGGCTGCAGTAGATGTGGCAGCTGCCTAGGCTTAACATTGCTTCTATGGTGGGGGTGGGGGGGGTGCTGGGGTAGGTTCTTACTCTCTGGACTTTGGTTCTGTGGTCATGGAAACCTGGCTCAGTGGTTTTGGGTGGGCTGAGATTTGATGGGTTTGAAGAGTACCTTGTCCAATCTAAGGTGTTACTGAGGTTATAACTTGATCTTTCTGGCCAAGAACCTTAGGTGGGGCAGGGTGGGCCTGTCAGAAGGATGTGGATGTGAGGTGGAGACCAGACCCTAACCTGGAAATTGTGGGAGTTTTGCTTTGGGGCTCCTGGCCTAGGATAAGGGCTTGTGACAGCCTTAGGAATGTCTCATAGTCCCTGAAGCTGTGGGTGGGGGTGCAGGGGAGCCCCGGAAGAGAAGCCGCCCAGCCTTGGCTGCAAGCCCTGCCCTGGGTGGTGCTTCAAGCGCTGAGTCATGGCTTTGGTGAGGGGGCTCCTCCCCAACCTCCAAGCTGCTGAGGAAGTCCCTGGTAGTCAAGACAAGCATAGTGCAGGAGGGAGATGCCTCAGATCCTTGGCTGAGGAAGGGAGTGCTGAAAGATTCTTAGGACAGAGTGCTGGCTCCCTGAGGCTCCACTAAGTGCCCACCATGTTCCCACATATGTCAGCTCCTGGTGCAGCCCCTCCCAGTTCCTGGCTCCCTGGCCAGCTGCAGCTCTCTCCATGCAGCTGTCTGGGCTGTCAGGCCTGCGTGGGGAAGTCCGAATCGTGTGTGCTCTCCTAGGCAGATAGTTACATCTGTGTTCTGGGAACTTCTGGCTCTTATATTGGTCAGAGTTCTGGGCCAGAGCTTCCTGTAGCAGCCTGTGTTAGGCTTGTAGCTAAAGGGTGTTTTTCCCAAGCAGGGCAGGCTGTGGAGTATCCTTTACAGGCATGGATGCCAATGGTTCAGTCAGATGCTGCAGCTCTACTCATGCCTCTTCTCTGCTGTAGGATTCATGGTGCCTTAGCTAGCCCTCAAGAAGAGATGAGTCTGATGGCCAGGACCTTTAAGGGTCCTGGCTAGGACAGCCTGGCATTTCAGACCCAGGTCTTAATTGAGGACATACTAAACTATGCCCCAAGTGTTTCTCAAGCCCTTTGCTCAAGAGAAACCCTAGAACAGAGCTTTCTCCTCGCCTTTCTAAAGAGTAGGGCAGAAAGGGGTAAGGAGCTGCTAGAACTAGATGGCTTCCTCTCTGATAACTCACCACCAGCATAAGAATTGTTCTTAGAGGGCTGTCTAAACCCTTGGCCTATTATGTTCCCAAGGTGCCTCTTCCCACACAGGCCAGATGAGCACAGCTCACCAGCTGAGCTGATTGTGTGAGGTGAGGGACTGCTGGGAGCCTGCCCTTATTTCCTTATTTCCTGTTCCCAAGTTGGAGTTTGGGGGGGTCACGTGCCTGGTCCATCTGCATTTGGCTTCCGGGATTCTCCCTGGTTTCTCCTGGTGATGTCATCATTAACTCCTCCCTCCCCAGGGCATCTTCTTTATCAGGCTGGATTGGTGGGAATGGGCTCTAAAGAGACCTCCTTCTGGCTGGACTGAGCTAGATGGAATGTTGAGGTTGAGGGAGATGGAGAAGCTTTTCCTCACTGGTTTGAAGTGTTGCCCTTTAGCTGTTGGTTCATAATCAGCCTTCTTTAGTGCCCTTAGCTGCAGGCCAAAATGGCCTGGAGTTGGGGCAAAGAAGTGAGGGATAGACCCTTTCCAGTTGAAGAGGAGCTGTCCAAATGGGGTCCAAGTTCAACTCTGAGCCCCAGAGAGGACTGTCATGGGCACCAACATCACAGCATGAGACTTGAGCATTATTATGCTTAGGAACTAAGGACTTTCATGAACTTGTGTTCATAGGGCATACCAACACTATAGGGTGTGTGTGTGTGTGTGTGTGTGTGTGTGTGTGTGTGTGTGAGAGAGAGAGAGAGAGAGAGAGAGAGAGAGAGAGAGAGAGAGAGAGAGAGAGAGAGAGAGAGAGAGAGAGAGAGAGAGAGAGAGAGAGAGAGAGAGAGAGAGAGAGAGATGCTTGATGCTTGATAGCCCCTGTGATATGGCCAGGTGGCTTCAGCCTGTCTGGTGAGCTCTGGGTAGCTCCAAAGTGCTAGACCTGGATCCTAGTTATGCCCACCAGGCAGGGTGCTTGCCTGCCTCAGCCTCAGTTTCCTGGAGCCCCCTTTCTGGCAGCAAAAACCCCAGGGGGGAGGCAACAGGAAATGAAACTCCAACTGATCTAACCACCCAATTCTTGTTGTAGGGCAACCATTGATGAGGTAGAAACAGATGTGGTTGAGATCGAGGCTAAACTGGACAAGGTAAGAGATCTGGTGGTACATAAAGGGCCCAGCATTGCTTGGCCCATTCCAAGCCCAGTCTGGAAATAGAGGATGACTCCAAGTATATCTGCCTGTGTCGGAGACATCTATTAGATGGGAAACAACTGCTGTGCTTGTTGTGTCTAGTGTGACTGGGGTAGGGGGCCAAGGATAAGGGTAGGGAAGGGGAGAGGGAGCAAGCTTCAGAGCCAGAGAAGGCAGGGGCTATGTGTTGTCTGGCCCTCTGACCCTGTGGGGCCATACTCACACTCCAGCCCTGTGTCCTCTGCTTGCGGTGTCTCTGCCTGCCAGCCCTTCTGTCCAGAGCTCAGGCTCAGATAACACCAACCTCTTCTTTCTAGTGTCCCTTTGAATACCAGGCAGATACGATAGTCTGTCCTTAGTCCTGAACTGAAGGGGGGCAACTATGTCTGGATGCCAATGG